GCTAAGATATGATTAATAACTAGATCAAAAAACAAAAGATATGATTAATAATTAGGGAAGTAATTAATTAGAATGATTGTTGATTATATTAAATAGGTGGGTCTTTGTTTTAGAATTTCACTAATTAATACCATGGCTTTTTCCACCACGAGGACTCCATTATGCATATGAGAACCATTTCATGCACTCACCACCACCACTCATCAGTATTATATTGATTGACTATATCAGTTGATAGAATATATATTATATATATATATATATATATATATTACGTGAGTTTTCAGACTAATTATAGATGCATCAATCAAATACCCAAGAATTTCCGGCTGACAATCAATGGATAAGTATTTGGATTTGTCAATGGGGTACCCGATTGGAGAAAGGATCTTGACTTGGAAATTAGTGGAAAAGACTTGACGTGCAGATCAATTATCTCAAGTTCGAACTCTTATGGCACCTGACAATGTGTGTGTGAGAACAGCTCTCTCCCCTTCCTTACTTCAGAAAAAAAAGAAAAGAATAATTAGTGGGAAGTTAGTTCTTGCATGATCGATCTGTGTGCTAGTTCTGTCATGTTCCTTTTTTCTTTTCTTTCTCTTTAAATTTGTATTTTGCTGTCATTGTAATGACTGTTTGTCCTCCATATTTGTTTGTATGAAATAATCGTTATACAACTTAATTTATAGAATATATATTATATATATATATATATATATATATTACGTGAGTTTTCAGACTAATTATAGATGCATCAATCAAATACCCAAGAATTTCCGGCTGACAATCAATGGATAAGTATTTGGATTTGTCAATGGGGTACCCGATTGGAGAAAGGATCTTGACTTGGAAATTAGTGGAAAAGACTTGACGTGCAGATCAATTATCTCAAGTTCGAACTCTTATGGCACCTGACAATGTGTGTGTGAGAACAGCTCTCTCCCCTTCCTTACTTCAGAAAAAAAAGAAAAGAATAATTAGTGGGAAGTTAGTTCTTGCATGATCGATCTGTGTGCTAGTTCTGTCATGTTCCTTTTTTCTTTTCTTTCTCTTTAAATTTGTATTTTGCTGTCATTGTAATGACTGTTTGTCCTCCATATTTGTTTGTATGAAATAATCGTTATACAACTTTGACGGTGCATGCTTCCGTAGGAGTTTCGAACTAGCTTTACCTAAAATGAGGGCCTTTCAATTTATATCGTACAACAATATTAATGTATCGCCTCCTCTATATATATAGGGTCCCTTTTTATGCTTAAAGTCCAGACACTCCTTATCTTGAATTGGATGCTTTAATGTGAATATGGTACAAAGAACAAACAATTTATCCAGATACAATGCTCCATTAGACTACACGTAATTCACATCACTCACTATAATTGATGTATTTGGCTCATCGATTAGTCAAATAATGCATGTCTATAGTTCCGTGATTGTATTGAAAAATGGCATATTTAGGTTTGTTTCTCTGTCATACGAAGAATAATAATATTGGTACATATTGAATCACATATTAGGAAAGAACCCATCATTTATGAGCGTGACACACTTTATATATGCATGTTTTTGCCAAGAACTATAGAAATGCCATGACATGCGAATGCATCCCTCTTTATTTCATTGGCAAGAGAGTCAGAAAAAGTTGGTGAATTGTGTCTACTGTTGGAGAAGGGGTCAAGGAAAAAGACCAGTCTTTCTTTGTCCATAAACCAAATGATTTTTGGGAGGAGGAAGAGATCTTACATTTCTCTAGACAGATTGTGAAAGCAACCAAAATGCACGAATCAAAGCCACGTTTCATTCCCAACTCAGGAAGCTTCTTTTATTTATGCACATAGATGTCTAATATGGGGGATTGTTTTTGTTCTTTTCTGGCCAATCATCTTAAAGGTAGTCAAATTTTTCGACTTGTAAAAGTTGTTCAAAATCTCCTTTAATGGTGGAACGTCTTGTTAAGTTTTGGATTACATTAAAAAGGAGTTCGGAAACCACAATTGCGGATTGTTCTATTTACTACTTTATTTTTTTGTATTATCTCCAGTAATTGATTATATATAAAAAGTTAGAGAGTCGAAAAATAAAATGGTATTTTCTATGAGGCCTAATTTTTCATTTCTATGGTTGTAAAATTTTCAACTTTTTTTTAATATAAAATTTTTATATACAAAAATACTACATGTTTTTATCGAGTTATCTGTGCACATGATTATTTTTCAAAGCCGCTCTCGGCCTTGAAAATCTCTAAACCGGCTAAAAGAGTCACTTTCTAAAGCAATTTAGGAATTTCCTAAAAAAGAACTGAAGTAGAAGCTCTCAATCACCATCGCCAACACCTCTATATGGTCATCCAAAAATACATATGTGAACTTTCTAACACATTCGGAAACATGCTAGATTCTAGATGCTTAAACAATGGATGTGTCACAAACAGTTAGGGGGAAGTCGAAGGTTATTGCTACTTTCCTTTTTTCTTTTAAAAAATTTACTTTACTATAATTTCTTTTTTTATTTTATAATTTAATGAATGTCTAGAACAGCGTCAAAGTAATCCACAATCTCGAGTCGAAAGAATTTACGCGTAATACCCAATTGTCAGCTGCCATTTGTATGGATTTATATAGACTCCCCTAAATATCTTTGATGGGGCATGATAATTTGTAAAAAGACAAGCAACTTTGTTTAGTGGACTTGGACAAATATTCATACAAAAAAAAAGAAGAAAATGATTAAAGATGAAGAGTGGACCACCGACACGTGCCGATTCTCACCGCCCCTTTGAGGAAACCGTTTTATGTTTGTTGACTTACGGAACGACAGACGAGATATGACAATTTTATTTTCTAATGGCTCCACCGAAAGTGAGAACCCCCTAACGTGGAGGAGTCGTGGATCACTTGTTTCGCACAAACAAACCCCATAACATTATATGGTTATGCTTATTAATTAGCTTACCCCTCCGAGCTTATGCAATTTTTTTCTGTTTTAATTTTTCTTTGACACGCTAAAACAGTTGGTTTAAAGTATGTATTTAGATAAGCAACTCGATTAACGCATTTTTCGCTTACTTGCACATTGTATTTGTCACGTGGATTAACATGTCATATAAACAACGTATAAAATTTTAAAGGATTAATTGATTCTTAAGGTAACTATTTTCCATGACTGAACTTTATCAAACATGGAAAATCAAGCCTCCTTTCCCATTAACCAAATGGGCCATTTATGTTTATAATTATGTATGTTTGTAATCGAATGATAAATTCTTAATTTCCCTAGGGCTCTTTTAGTAAACCGCTTAAAATTACTTAAACGTCTCTTTGTATGTGAGAGGTAGGTGATTATAAATAAAAATTTGACCACACCATCCAATCACCATAATAAAGATTTGACCACGTATTACAACTCTGAAGATATTTTTTGTTCTATAATTAAAGAAAAAAAGCATGTTTAAAATCTCTTTGAAGTGACTTCAACTTTTCTTTTTCTTTTTCTAAAAGCATGTTTAAATCCTAATTATGAAATTATTTATTTATTCTATAGCAATTATGAAATTATTTACTTGGAAACTTTATTATTAGTAACTTCATTTTTGGTAAATGATTGGGCTGGCCGGCTGGAGTTGGAAAATTGGTGACTTAACTTTTCTTTAGGGTTTAGGGTTTAATGATCATTTCTACTTGGTTGACCATTTGCCACCCCCAGATCTTGTTTTATTCTATCATACTCCATCAGAAGTTTGAAAAAGTAGTGAATACTGTAATATAAGGTGGGGATTTTCATAAATAGGCCCATTCTAACACGATATTTTATAATAATAATAAAATAATTTAAAGAGCCTAGTTGGGGAAAAAAAAAATATTGCCCGCAATTAGTTACTTATCAATTTCTAATTGGTTTCTATGTGTTACAAATTTTTCTCAAGTATCAGACTTGAATGATTTCTTTTTAATAATAAAATGTTACGCTGGAATGGGCATATTTGTGAAAAGTTACTTTGTTTTCATCGGACCTAAAGTTACCAAACATAGTTGCAATAAAAAATTTCAAATTTTGCCTCCAATTTAATCCATCTACATAAAATGAATCCACATGAAATCAAGTTGATTTTATAAATTTCGTTTGTTGTGATCGAATTCTGGGATCCTATGAAAGTGAGATGTGTAATGATCATTTGGTCTAGTAACTTGTAGTTTTTATTTTTATTAAAAGTTTTGAGTGCACGACTCATGAGTAGTTGTTTAATAATAAAAAAAAAAGTACTGCAAAAATAAAATTACGATTTCTTCGAAATGATTACACGTGTGCTACTGCAAGGAAATTTAAAAGAAATCAAAATCAAAAAATAAAAGAGGCCTTTTTCTCTGGAGAAATGCAGCTAGAACTAAACTAAATCTTCCAGGAACAACTTTAAGTCCCAAGTAGAAAATGAGAAAAGAGTTGACACAGAGTTGGGAATATGTTTAGAATCAAAACTCAAAATTCTAATGATGGTCCAACACTCTAGACTTCTTATCCCACCCCCCTCCTACTGGGATGCGACCAATGAGGCAGATGATAATATTCAAACAACTTATTCGAGCCATTTGGTTCTTTCTGCAAAGATTTCACTCGTCCTGCTATTCAACACATGTTTTGTGAAGCTAATTTTGTAGCGGTCGCATGCTTGCAACGCTCAGTGCATACATACATGCCATGTAGTTGTACGGATTACAAGCGACAGATTTCTATTTGTTTTTGAAAACAAACAGTGGAATCCCCTTTGCTTTAATTACAGATAAAAACAGACGGAAGGACAGATGGGGGGTGGTTAGTGGGAGGTGCAGAGAGAAATTGGAGTGTAAGGGAGGAAAGCTAGAAGGGCCAAGCCGTGTGGGGCCCAAACAGAGCCAACCAATCCCGAGACTTCTACATATTCTCTCTCTCTTTCCTTGAAAAGTCTTTATTCAAAATCTTTATCTCCTCTCTTATAAACCCCCCCTCTCCTGCTCTGTCTCTCATCACATAGATTTTTAGACACTTGCTCTGTTCTCGCTCCCCTGCTTTCCTCTCGCCGCACCAAAACATTTCGTCTTCACACCCAAACACCCTGCACTTCATCAACAACCTCTCGCATATTCTTTACTTGCCGTGCCTTGCTCGTTCTCTTTGTTGAATTCAAGCTCTGCATTCAGAGAATTTAGATGGGTTCCTCAAGATTTTGCGCTTTTGGTATCCGATTCTGTTTTTCTTTGGATCGGAGTAGCTTTTCAAATTGAAACCCAGATTCCAAAATTCAGTCTTTGTAATTTTTTTTTATTCCTTTGCCAAAATTTGTATCTGGGTTATTTGAATTTTCTTCTCTTTTATCGGAATCGATTTTTTTGTTTTGTTTTGTTTTGTTTTTTTTGGCGTATTTACTTTGGTGACCCATCTGAAGTTCTCTTGAATCTCAATCTCTTTTTGGCTTCTGGGATTGTATTTGAGAGCCTTAGATTCAGAAAGAAAGCGAGAAGGTAAAATCAGCAAGTATGGCTGCGGCTAAAAAAAGCGGTAAATCCAAGAAGGGTGTGGAGGAAAGCGAGATGGAAACAAGCCTGGATTGGGAGATTAACGAAGACAAGGACCTTGGTTTTAGCTTCGAGAGCCAGCCATGGAAGCTGGGTTTTAATGAAGCTTCCATGATCTCAAAGAGGCCTCTCAAGAAAATCAAGAGCCCTGAACGTCAAGACCCAATTCAATCCTCTGCTTCTTCAGCTCATCAAGCAACTTCATCAACCACTCCTTGTCCATCTTCATCATCTTCAAGAATAGTTTTTCCTTTTGCTTTTGATGGCTCTCAGCAGCCTGTGCAATTTCCCAACCAATTCAATACCACAACTGCGCCTATATACCCCTCACCATTTTCACAACAACAACAACAACAAAATCAGCAGCAAATGATCTCTTTTGCTTCTCAACAACAGCAGCAGCAACAGCAACAGCAGCAGCAGCAGCAGCAGCAACATGGCATGACTTATCCGCCGCCCTTTTTGGGAGACTCAACAACTTGGCAACAACAGCAGCAGCATCAAATTCTCCAGTATTGGAGTGATGCTTTGAATTTAAGTCCAAGAGGGAGAGTTATGATGATGAACAGGTTGGGGCCTGATGGAAGACCATTGTTTCGACCGCCGGCAATGCCTTATAATACTACCAAGCTTTACAGGGGAGTGAGGCAACGGCATTGGGGGAAATGGGTAGCTGAAATTCGTCTTCCTCGAAACAGGACTCGCCTCTGGCTCGGCACCTTTGACACAGCTGAAGATGCTGCCATGGCTTATGACCGCGAGGCCTTCAAGTTGAGGGGAGAGAATGCTAGGCTTAATTTCCCAGAGCTGTTCCTCAATAAAGACAACACATCAGTTTCCACAGCTCCAAGCTCAACAGCTACTTCTCCAACAGCTCAAGAAAGTTCAATGCCTACCACAACCAGGAACCGTAAGCAATCTCGAAAAGTTCAGAAAAAGGCTTCAAATACGGAGGCAATGCCACCACCACCACCACCACCGCCACATACCGAAGAAGACAATACCGATGACGATTCGGGATTGGGGTCAAGTGAAGCTAAAACGAGTGATGAATTTCAGGCGAACATGAATGCTGCAGGAGGAGGGAATTCACAGCCGGAGGAATTGGTTTGGGGGGATATGGCAGAGGCTTGGTTGAATGCAATTCCAGCAGGTTGGGGTCCAGGAAGTCCTGTGTGGGATGATTTGGACACCAACAACAATCTTTTGCTGCAATCACATCTCCCTTTTACCAATCCAAATCAGCAGAACTTTAATAACATTTGTCCTGAACTTGAAAGACAGCAAGACCACTCCGGTTCGGCTTCCTCCTCTTCCTCTTCATATCCCATGAAGAACTTCCTTTGGAAGGACCAAGATTGAAAAGTTCATTATTCTTTTCTTTCTAAAGATTGAGCTCTGCAAAGTGGTAAGGGAATTATAGTCTTTAGGCTGTCCCCAATTCTCACTCACACCTCTAGGTTGTAGAAGTAGTTTTAGGCAAAATTCCCTTGACAAATCTTCCAAACACCTACCAAATTGCATTTCAAACTCCTCCACTCACAGTCTTTCTTCCTTTACTTCTTACTTTATCAGTTTAGTCAGCCCCTCTTCTAATTTCTCATCACAGCTGGTTGCAGATTTTCTAAACACAGCCAATGATCCTCGAAGCCTTGTGACTTTTTCTTACAAGGGATCTTTGAAGCTTCAAATTCACTTCGGTTCTGACTTTCAGTTCCTTTAAATTCCTGCATTTATTCCTTCACACTCTCTTTCCAGGCCAATCTGCTATGCAAAAGGCTGCTTGTTTTTTCAGGCCTTTCAGCAGTGGCAATCTGGTTCATGCTTTGTGTTGCTAGTGGGTAGTATTATAATGTCTGTAGGGTATGTAGCATATGTGTAGGTAGGCTGGACCACCCGAGAGGGAGACGGTTTTGTGATCTCCTTCTCAAACGCTCCGACCATCACGAGCTCTCGTTTTTCAGCTCCCGGGATGGAAATGCCGATTGTAGGACTTGTACATTTTGGACTTGATCATCTATATATTGTGTTATTATGTATGCTTTTATTGATTGTAGCTGTATTTAATGGAACACTATGCATTATCATTTGTGAGCCTTCAGTTTCTATTGCTTACTCATGATTTTTCTTTTTCATATTGTTTTCATGGATGAATTTCTTGCTATTCAGAATCTGGTTCAGAAATTTGTTTAAACATTTCTGTTAACAGTATCATGCATGTGCATTGAACTTCCAGGTTGAAGATCAATGACAATGATAGTACCTCAGAAATATTTATGTAAATTATGTTAATATTAATTGCTTGAGGGAACCTTTTCGGATTAAATAAACTTGTACTTCTAAGTATAATTTCTCATTTATGCCATGTTCTGTATGACCAATAGACAACAGAATCAAAATGTGAAAGGATTGGAATGAGGAATACTCATTAAAATATTTACTAATTATTTGAAACGAGAATGAGAATAAAGATAATTTTCTGTGAAATATTTATCATTTCAAGAATTTGAATCAAAATTAATTTAATTACTAAATGCTCATCAACAAGCACTGCACCAAGTAACATTTCCTCGTTAAAGGTAATCAGCTCTTCGTTAAACAGTTTAGCAGGGAAAAATATTTCCTCGTATCGTATTGGGGCAAGTTGTGATAATGTAGAGCATCTTTGAGGTTAACTTATTTTGAGAGAATTTTGTTTTATAACATCAATAATTTTTAGGCAGAAAATTAATAGAAGGGGTTTTGTGAAAACAATTCGAAACATAGAATTTCCAAAACGTAAAGTAGCCCGAAAAAAATACTTAGAATTTTGAAATTATAATTTCCATCTAAATAGTTGTCACTTATCTCACCATATTTGGATTCATTAATGCTCTTAAATTTCATTACGAATGAACAATTAGCAAAAAATAAGAACTTATTCAAAACATGTCGCTCTTTAGGAATGAACTATTTGTTTTCTTTATTCAACAACTGTCGTATATGAGATTTAAAATCACGACCCTCTTCAATTAAAAGAAAAAAAACATCAACCAAGTAGAAAGGGCCTCTATATACACCACAGAAAGTATTACATGCACTCTTCTATCCACTCAAATAAATACTAGATCTACTACAACAACAACCCAAAAAAAAACAGAAAAAGAATCGTGGGCTTATTAGAATTCGCCTAATGTTTGAAGTTTCCTTCACGCACAATGATTACAAAGAGAAAGTCCAGCAGCTGCATGCCGCTCATCCAATCAATCACCTGCACAGTTTGGTTTCCCGCATTTTCATGTGAAGAAAAAAGGCATTCGAACTCATTTATTTCTAAAAAAGATTTACAAACATTCAAAATAAAAATTCAACCAAGAAAAAGAAAACGAACACTTTCGACATTTATTGTTGGTGATCGATGAGTGATTGACAGAATGATGGGGAAAGGTGGGACCAGTCGCCGTCCCATGAGATCAATCAAATTTCTTATTTGTGACGGCACGATAACGATGAACTCGAAATCATGGGGTTGATTAATTAATGATTTCCATTGACATTATTGAATTAATTAATTAATTAATTAATGATTTCCATTGACATTATTGAATTAATTAATGAATTGATTAATGAATTTGAAAATATCTCATGTACTGGTGGTGACGCAGACATGGCTGAATAAACAAACCCTTTCTTTGAAACCAAACCCACTATTTTAATTATGTCAGGCTGTGGCTGCTTCAAGATAATGATGATTATGTTGTAAATTAATGGAGATTAGTTTTGCTTTGGATGTTGATTAGATTAGAGCAACCAAAGTTCGGAATTGGATTAGGTCATTTGTATTTTGTGTATAAAATTTAAGGTTTCTTGGCTACACATGTCTCCAAACTCTTTGGGAAGAAAATTGATATTATCAGCCATTGGTTTCGTATGAAAATTAATTCAACAATGTGATGGAACTGAAAATTAAGAGCAAAAGGTTTCTTGGAAGAAAGTGTGGCAATTGGAGATCCCAAACAAGATTAAGTTGTTCATTTGGAGAGATGATTTTGATATTTGGGACATTTTGGAAAAAGCAAAAGGAGAGAAATTTTAAAAGAAGCAAAAATGGACAAAAATGCCCTTATTTATTTTTAGATTTCCTAAGGAATCCAATACATTTGCATGTCTTTGATTTGAAAGTTGAGTGGTTTTTTTGTCTTTTTTGAAAAAGCTTTGGCTTTTTCCAAAAGTGAAATTTTTTTTATGTCTAAAACCTAAAAAACCTTTGATATTTTACCTACTGGTGTGCAGTTGTTCCAGCGAAAGGTGCTTCCTTTCTTTTTGTGCTCACGTTGTGGGAAGAGGGGTGAAGATATGGTACATGCAATTTGGTGCTGTAACGCAAGTTGGGGGTTCCGTGATACCCATGGTGATTTTGTTTGGGGTTTTGCTTGTGGCGGATTGGTGAGTTTGGGAATTTTGGAAATTGAATTAACAGCGTTGTGGGAGGGGCTTACTATTGATTTATGCGAAAGGTTTTCACAATCTTATTATTGATTCGCAAGAAGCTATTAGTCACTTAAATGACACTGAGTTATTATGGACTAATATTGGTAACTTTGTTCAAGATGTTCGGCTTCTGATGGAACGATTAGGTGTTGTAGAGGTGCGCTATTAACCTAGATGAGGAAATCGGGCGGCTCATTCTTTGGCTAAATTTGGTCTTAGGGAGCACACCCAGTTCATATCGGAGGATCAAGCACCAGTTTGGCTTTTGGATGTACTTGAATTAGATACGGGGGAAGAGTAGGTTTTGTTTTTGTTGTTTCGTGTTGTGGTACTCTTTCTCCTTGATCGGATTTTCCTCCTTTGTTTTGGCAGTTTTTTAAAGCAAGTTTTAATTTATTTATTTTTGTCAAAGGTCGAATGTTGAACCTTTGACTGCATAACAGAAGCCACCAATATGTAATACAAAATATAATAATGTGAAAGCAACTTAATTGCTTATTAAGTTAATAAACACAAATATCCAAGAGAAATTTGGAAAAGTAACCTTTTCTAACACATTAAGGAGAGTGTTTATAGAATACTATGATAATACGGTCATGTGGTACATCTTGTGCACATGTTATAATATATGTCGATATTTATTGATATTATTCCCTAAAAAGGGGAAAATAAACCATTTCGTTCAACATATTATAACATGTGTACAAGATGTAACACGTGATCATACTACCATAGTATTCTATAATTTCTCTATTAAGGACTTTTGGCCAATTTTTCTTTCTCAAGATTTAGAAATATTGTCACTCGAGTGGTTAATATTCTAAAAATCTAAAAAATTCAGCAAATAGTCTTTCGTGTGTTCATAATTTGGCTACTTTTCATATCCCAATGTTAAAATAAATTAAAGGGTTAACTACATAAAACTACTCGAACTTTGGGGGTCATTTCATGTTAGTACCCGAGCTTTAAAATCTTGCCCAAAAGAGAAAAAATTGATATCACAAAAAACATACAAATTCATCCCATAGTTAGCTAGACTATTAGTCAAACTGTTAAATGACTATGTGACAAATGTTAGTACTATGCCCTTAAAGCCAACTAATTATACGATAATTAATATTAAGGAAATCTTATCAGTTTCCTCAGGGTACTTCGGGAGACGCAACCCACAAGAAGCGTCCTTCGGTTTTCTAAGGGAGATCTAGGTTCCTATCAGTTTTCTAAGGGAAACATGATAATCATTTATAAGCGTCATTCGGGAGACGCAGTCTAAAAACAGCGTCCTTCGGGAGACGCATGATGCGCCCGACATCCCTCAAAGAGGATCTAGGTTCTTGTCAGTTTCCTAAGGGAGGCATGATAGCCAAAGTATCCTAAAGAAGGAACAGAATAGCACCCTTCAAGCAATCGGTGGGTAAACATTCAGACATCCTAAGGGAAATGGACAACCAAGACACTAGCTTGTTACTCAAGCAGTTCACAAGACATAAGGCAAATTGAAGTTAAAGAAATAACTAAAGTTTTCATAGCAAAGTGACCAATCTGCCAAGTTCAACAAAAGAAAAAGTCCAAACAAGACCAATTATTTCAAACAAGAAAACATATTACAAAAGTAGGAAAAAAAAAAAAAAAGTCTTCATCTACTTCGAGACTCTAGCAAGAGACCCTTGGTCTGCAACCTCTTCGGCGTCTGCCTGATCAGCCATGCCTTCAACAGCTCCAATTATTTGCTGCATGACATCTGCTGCCATATCATCAGCCATGCCACCTCTACTTCATCCTCCCGGCTACAGTCTCGTCAACCACATGCTCTTCGGCTCCCTTCACATCCACAGGATTGATCTGCTCACTTTGAACAGGGAGTAAGTCAGGGCAGAGCGTCTCGATGTCTTCATCTCCAATGGTGTAAAAGGGAGTAGTCCTATTTGTGTAGTATAATTAGCCCAGCTTGTACACATCTGTGATAGCTTCAAGCTTGGATTTTTCAGTAATCTTGTAATAGGCACCAAATATGGCTAGAAGCTTGTCATAACTATAAGAGATGTCAGCATTCTTACGCTCAAGACGATAGTAGGCCGAGTTCACCAAGTTAGCATCAAAAGAGCCGAGTTCACCATCCTTCTCAACAAAAGAACTCTTCAACTCATATATCATTGCCCTCAATTCAGACGATTTCTTTTCATAATAGATCTGCTCGGCTCAGAGGTTGCCAGTCAAATCAGCATTCTTCTTCTCCAACACGCTAAGCTGAGTAGTTGGAGAAGAAGAGGGGGTAACAGCAGACGAATTCCAAATAATCTCAACAACAAAAGCTACTCTTTTTAATTTTATTTTTTTTAAAGCAAATGAACTGACTCCTCCCTTTGTTTTTCCAAGGAAAGACTTAAGAAGGTATCAAGGTCACCAGCCTAATGGATATGATTAACCAATTTGACATAAGCAGACAGGCTTGACAAGAAGTTTTTCTTTAGTAGGTCAGACACACCTATATCTTTTACAGGGTTGGGCTTGTTAGCCTTGGGATCAACCCTTCGCCCTTCGCTCAGGCAGATGACTATTTTGCCTTTTTAGCCCCCGTCATCCTCACTTCCAAAGGAGTCAACGACGCTTAATCAAC